CTAGGGTAGCACCATTGATCCCTCTTGTTCAGAGGCTTCAGCATCTTGGGCTGCACAGCTACTACTTCTCCAGCTCCCCAGCCAGCAGACTGCCACAGAGGACTCTCTAGCTTCTGGTCACCTAAGACAATCTAACAAATCCCCTTTTTGTATTCATTCTTCCTGTTGATTCTGTTCCAATGGAGAACCCTAACTAATGTACTATAGAAGACTACAATTGCTCTGAAAAATAAATTCAATAAAAAAATGAATCAACTACCACACCATGGAAGATTCACAAATACATAAAGAAGAAACAATATTACATAACGAATACCTTTTCCATAATAATGCAAGAGTAAAGGAAAGAGGAAGAGTTATATATACAAATTTCAAAACTATGAAGAAAAGCAAGGAAACTGATTTTCAATACTGTTTCCATTTTGAGAGAAATGGGGTGACTTATCTCATTAAAACTCCTGGTTTGGTGGAGTCCACTTAAAATTTTTGCAACTAGGAAAGTCAGGGCAGGAAGATGACAAGACTGAAGCCAGTCTCAGCAATGGAGCAAAGCCATCAGAAACATAGTCAGACTTGGTCTTAATCAAAAATTACAATCAGGAAAAGAGGCTGTCACTGAGTGACAGAGCACATTCCTAGCATGTTTGAGGCATTTGGTTTAAAACAGATCCCCAAAAAAAAAAAAAAAAAAAAAAAAAAAAATCAACAATTAAGGTATTCTGTCCATCTCCAACTATGACAAAATTAAAAAATAAATTTAAAACTAAAAAATGCTGGAGATGTGCTCAGTGGTCAAGTGCCTCTGGGTTTAATCCCTAGGAAAACACACACCCACCATCAAAAAATGCTTTCACCAACTTGAAAGTATTTGTTGAATGACAACAAGCAGGAACAAGTCCCTGGCTTCAATCCCACCACTTAATACATAATAAATCAATAATTGTCCACTTTCTTGGGCTGGGATATAGTTCAACAGTAGAGCATTTGCCAAGCATGCATGAGGCCCTGGGTTCAATCTGAAGCAGGGCACAAACACACACACACACACAAAAAAAAAAAAAAAAAAGAAAAAGAAAAGAAAGAAAAAAACACACAATATAACTCTACTAAACTACATCACATGAATGACAAAAAATGTTTATAATTGGAAAAATACAAAATGAGAGGCATAAAATACAATGAAATTAATAGAAAGACAATATACATTCTTACCAAGGAGATTAAGGAGACTGAACTTTCCCATGATCTACACTCTCTGAAAAACCCTGAGCATTTTAGAAAATTCTGTGAAATCCAGGGCCAGGTGTGCTGTGCTTCTTGGTGATATTAAAAAAAAAAAAAAAAAAAAAAACTACTTCTAATAGTGAAAATAGGACACCATATTTAAGATCAGTCAAAATCTTGTAGTGATCACAGTGAGTGTAGACAGAGTATTCATGTAACTCCCAAATTTCATAATCTAACAGCCCAGCTCCCAAAGTGGTGGCTTAAGGATAAGGCACATTTTTTTTTTCTTTTTGATTCTTTCGATTGAACCCAGAGGCAGTTGACCACTGAGCTGCATCCCAAGTCTTTGAAGTCTCACCAAGTTTTATAGGGTCTAGCTAAATTGTTAAAGCTGTCCTCAAACTTTAAATCCTCCTGCCTCAGCCTCTGGAGAAGTAAGGAGTACCACTGTGCACCACTGCACCTTGCCATAAATTAGGATGTTTACTAAATGGAAATGTAAGTAGGCTTTTTTTTTCCACTTCTTTTTTCACTCTTTCATCATATTTCATCATATTTAGTGCTGAATAAATAAACTTGGGCCTCAGATAAGTGAGCAGATCATTTCACAGTGATAACCACAGATGGCTGGTGCTGAGGGAGCAAACATATCAGGCTCAAGAGGCAGGGAAGGTCCCCCTGCCAGCTGGGACATCCTCACACCTGGTGTGCTCACTGAAATACTCCATGATCACTCTCCCATGAGACCTAGACCATGACTCCAGCCTATGAGGCTTTTCAGATTTTCACAGCACTGCACTGGGGTGGCTGGTCCTTATGCTCTGGGAGAGTTTTTGCTCTTCCACACTGTGAGAGAATGCAAGGGTCAGGAATCACTGGTGACCTGGCCTCTCAGCACCAGCATCCACAGGCTGACTGTCCAACTGTATCCAAGGAATGGGAACAGGGCTTGGGGAAAACAAGATCCCAAGAAGTTAGTTGTCTAGATTAGAGACTTGTTCCAGGACATTCCTTTGCCCCAAAACCTCAGTTTATCCCCCAAGAGGCTGTACCTCACAACTTAGGCTGTCCTCTAAGAGGAGCTGACCCAGGGCCTAAAATTCCTTGAACCATACAGGACACAGGACAGCTGTGGGCACATGGTGGCAACTCAGGAAAGGATAGTGGCTGAGAACATAGGACTCTCTGAGGTATCAAAAGAAAACCAGCCTGAGAAATCTGATATGCTGTCTATACCTAAGAAAGATAAAGAGAGAAGCACAGGATTTTCACAGGTGTGAACTGAAGTTCTCTATGAACTTGCTTTATATCAATGAACCTTCAGACCACGTGACTTTGGGAAACTACACCACCATGAGGATAGTAAAACGGGGTCCTGGATGAATGGCAAAAATTCTCATCTGATATCTTAAGCCCTTTAATAGCCAATTACCTTAATTTCTATATTAGTCCCAAATTCTCAAAACAAATGCACTTCTCAGAATATATTACCAACCTTACCTGACATATAACCACCATCTTCCAAAGCTAACAATGTATTTAACAGACCCACAGAAGAAATCCCCCCCTTTTTTTTCTGTAGCCACTAATCTGATGATCCTACCAGTGCAATTGGTTAATGTATTCATACATAACTTTCTTTTACAAATGACCTTGTCAGCCAAGCACAGTGGGGCACAACTGTAACCCCAGCAACTTGAATAGGTCAGGAGAACAGCTAAATTCAAAGCCAGCCTCAGCAACTTAGTGAGGCCCTAAGAAACTTGGTGACATCATATCTGAAAATAAAATATAAAAATAGCTGCAGATCTGGCTCAGTGCTTAAGTACCCCTGGGCTCAATCCCTGATATTTAAAAAAAATGTAATCTCTTCCTGGTTAAAACACATACATCATTCAGGATAAGTTGAATCCACATTCCTGAGTATGGTCATTAGTATTTGGGTCAAAATAAACTATTTTCCTCAGGTATGGTGGCCAGTGCCTTTAATTCCACCACCTAGAGAAGCTGAGGCAGGAGGATCAGAAGTTCCAGGCGAGGCTGGACAACAAAGCCAGATCCACTTTGAAAACAAAATTTAAAAGGGCTGGAGATGAAGGGCAAGAGAATAAATCAGACATTTTATCCTATTTGCATATGTGACTGAAAGACCCCAGCCCAATAACTTTAGGCCCAGTAATAAATCACCAGGGCTTGCTTCCACACCTGCACAGACGTCAGATGTATTTTTCAGAAAATCAGTTAAGTGTAACCGATTAAGAAAGAACAGGATGGTTGGGAAAGGAACCAGCACGGTTGGGCAAACGGGATCATACAATGAAAAACCATACAAAGAATAACAAATGGTTTTTATGTGGTTTTTCCAGGAACCTATAGTGAAAAACAAGTTTACCCTTTAAGTGACCTATATGCTGGATTCAAAAGAGCCAATGAGATACCTGTTACTGTGCTAGGAGGGAAACTGACCACTGTACCCTATAAAAGATCTGTACCCCAAAGCCCGGTGTGCCAGTTCACCGAAGCTCCGGCTGAGGTTTCGCTGGGCACCCGCAGGCGCCTGTGTATCAATAAATCACCTCTTGCGTTTGCAGCCAGTGCCTCGTGCGTCTTTCTTGGACAGGGAATCGGTGGGTCTTTCATGACTACATGACCAGTGTGAATGGACATTAGGTACAACCAGAAAAAGGAGAAGTTACACTCTATTTACGTATAATGTGTCAAAATTCATTTTACTGTCATGTATAAGTAATGGAAACCAAGTAAAATAAATAAATAACTTCTGCCCAAAACAAACAAACAAACAAACAACAAACAAAAAAGGGCTGTGGATGTAAACCAAGATCCAATATCCTTAGTACCAATAACCCACTGCCTTATTTCATTTAAAGTAGCTATTTTATCCGAACACAGCATGTGTCAAGTGACTATTCTTTTCCCTCAAGTATGATATTCAGAAACAGAAAACAAAAGTGTTATTCTTGCCAGGGACAGTGGCACAGGCCTGTAACTCCAGGGACTCAGGAGGCTGAGGCAAGAGGATCACAAGTTGGAGGGCTGGGCTGGGGATGTGGCTCAAGTGGTAGTGCACTCTCCTGGCATGCATGCGGCCTGGGTTGGATCCTCAGCACCACATACAAATATAGATGTGTCTGCCCAAAACTAAATAAATAAATAAATATTAAAATTTCTCTCTCTCTCTTAAAAAAAAAAAAAAAAAACAAAGTTGGAGCGCAGTGTCCCAAGCAACTGGGATACAATCTCATTTTTTTTTTTTTTTAAATTGGGGGGGGGGGGTATGCCTGAGGATTTCACTGATAAAGCTTCTCTAGTTTTGATCCCCAATACAAAAACAAAATATTGTTTGAAATACATCAGTAGAGAAAAAGTGAAAATTAATAGACTGTGTTCATTTGAAACACAGGAGGAAGACCAGATATTTATGACGGGAAGTGGAAAAGATGGTGGCATTTTAGAACGCAGGAGGCAACTGCAATTTGAAAGACCTACAGCAGCCTTCAGAGGAACTAAACTGGGGGAAGGAAAGTGGTTTTGGGATCCTGCTTCCTACACATTTGGAAGAGTGGGGGCGGGCCACCAGCAGGGAGGGGAGGGGGAAGCTGGGGACCTGAGCCGCCCATTCAACAATGGAAGCCACTGGACGGAGCCCAGGGCAACCTCCAGAGGTGACTCGGCCAGGCTCTGCAGTTCACCCGTTTGTGGGGGACCCAAGGCAGGTGCTGACCACGTACCTTCAGCCCTGGACACAAACTCACCATTTTTGTCTTTCTAGGGGACCTGGAGTTCTCTCGAGGACCTCAAGGCAGCAGAGACCAAGGGGAACACAGCCTGCTCAGAATCACTCAGGCCTTTTGGGCAGAGCACGTGGGGAGGAGCAGAGTTGGTGAGGAAGAAAACCCCGCGAGATTGCGGAAGCCCGCCTTTCCCCTCTGTCCAGGAACCTGATTGGACAGTTCCACCACAGCATCCTTAATGGGCCTCCTCTAGTCAGGCCTCTGCATTGTGACTGACAGCTAAGGTTAACCAATCACTAACCAAAATTGCCTAGAGTGGCAGATCCTTGGCCCAAGCCCTTTTCAGGTGGAGCTTCTTGGCTGGGCTGGGAACTAATCCACGTGGGAAACCTATGCTTGAACGTGGTACAAATGGTAACATCTGGGATTGAGCTCTGGCTGAGGGAGACTGCTTTCCCAGCACGGGTGATGCCCTGGGTTTTAACCTCACCACAGAAAAAAAACAACAATTAAAAAATCAACAAAAAACAGTTACTTAAGGAGTCTAAGGCACGAGGAGCCCAAGGTCAGGTGAGCATTGACAAATGTTAATGCTGTTTACCCTGAGGAGTCCTTGTCCGCCCCCCCCCCCCCCAATCCTGCAGTATAACACCGGAGAAGCAGGTGGAGAGTGGAAAGTGGAAGGCTTTAATAAGAGAAAGCACAAAAGACTCCCCCCACCCCAGGAAGAAGGGGACCCAAAAGGCAGAATCCCTGGAAGGGGGAGGTCTTCTCCCTCTTAAACCTAAGGTCTTCTTTTGTCCTCCCACATTCCTGTTTTTTGTTTCCCTTTATTGTGCACATGGTAGGGGATATGGGGATATGGGTGGGAAGGACAGAGGGTGGGAAACTGGTGGACTAGTGGGGCGTGGAGCAGAAACCTGGGCAGGAACAGCCTAGGATGGTTTGATTAGCATCTCCCTGTTTTACTGGGAGCTACTTCTTTAACCTTATTTGGGACCTGGCCAAGGCCATGGGGACATGTAAACTTACTCTTCAGGTGTTTTTTTTTTTTTGTTGTTGTTGTTTTTTGTTTTTGTTTCCCAGGCTCAGGTAAGATTCCATTTTTTTAATTGAACCTTATATTAGACTCCATTTACCTAGCTACACAAACTACTATCTTTCAATCTGGCTTCAAAAACAGGGAGATCCTAGCTTAAAATAAAATAAAGAGAGTTGGGGATCTAGCTCAGAGGTTGAGCCCCACAGAAATTATCCCACAGAACCTCAAAGACAAAGATACCTACATACATATAGTATCAGCTGGTGTGACCTCAGGCAACTTATCAAGACATAGTCTCAAAAGTTTTAAAACAATATTTAAAGATATTACATATATCACACATGTATAATATCTAAAAATAAAAACAGTTGCAGTAATTCTCATCACCTTCTACCACTGATCTTTTGAGGAGATAGCATGAGCTAAGAAAGGAAGCAATTGTGTTGGTGATTTCACTCAGTGTTCTCTCCCCTGCAGAAAGGGGGAAAACAGGGGAGGGGAGTCAATCCTCTTAGGCAGCAATGTGGGCTGGAAACAAAATGGATGCCTTGTGCTTAATGTCCATGTTCTACATTCCACTATTAGGGGAGTTCTAGGAAGCGACTTGACTCTGGTGATCCCACATATCAGGTCTTCTGTTTACCCCAAAACCAAACAGAAAAGGTCATGATGAAAAGCAGGAAAGGAACTTTGATCAGTGAAGCTACCCCAGGAAGACAAGGGAACCATGTCCTTAGCCCTCTCTTCAGGGGCTGTTATGGAAAAGGGTAATTGAAAAGCCAGCCTCTACCTCAGAGCAAAGCCTGTCCAAGGAAGAGTGCCTGTCCTTTGTCCTCAGAACACTCCTAGGCTCGTGCTCACCATGCTGAGTTGTTTATCTACAAATAACAGGAGAGATCTGCTGTGCCAGGTGTCCCTGACTCAGTCAGTCTAGGTGGGAACCCATAGCAACACCCCCCACCCCCCTGCAGCCACCAATCAGCATGACACACTGAAATACCCGGGATATCAGATGACCCTCCCAGTAGTTTATGGTGGTTGATAACATGTTGGGAAACCATGTAGTTCAGCAAGTACCCCCTCATGGCTTAAACCATCCCCCTCTTTTACTAGCCAATCATCCTTACCCAAATTGTTCCTGCCAGTGAATGTGCTAATCATGTTTTAGAGTTGTTTTATGATTTTCCCGTGGTGTGTGATGATTTGCTAAGAGATGCTATGATGTATGTGAAGTCCCTGCCTTCCCCAGAGTGTAGAAAACTGTGGTAAACCCTGGGCTCGGGGCCTCTCAGCATAACCAGTTGCTGTGTGCACGCGGAGGACCGAGCTAGCTTGCAATAAACACCTCTTTGCTGCTTACATCAATCTTGGTCTCTGGTGGTCTTTTGGGGGTCCTTAATTCAGTCATAGGCATGCATGTAGAGGGAAAATTGTATGTACGTTTGGTGTCATCTGTGACTTTGTTACCGCTGTTGACCAGTGAGTTCTTGCTTCCCCAATGTTGAAGAATAACACCAGAGAAGCACTCCCAGGCAAGGTCATAGTGGAAAATAGAAGTTTAAAGGACTGCAGAAAAGACTTCTCCTGGAGGAAGAAGGGGACCCAAGAGATGAAATGGTTGTCTCCCATTTTTATAGCTGAAATCTTCATTTAGCTTTCCCGCATTCCTGTCACATTCCTGTCCTTTGTTCTGTCAAGGGTGGGGCACAGGTGGGCCAAAGGAGTATTCTGGGCAGGAATGATTTTTGAGTACATCTTCAAGTGTGCTGGGGACTGTCATTAACACTGCTTTGGGATGGGCTTTGGCCTTGGGCTTCTCCTGAACTTCATTAACATTCCAAGAGTTGTTCAACTTTTTCCAGAATTCATTCTAATCATGGCCTCCATTTACTCCATACCAGACCCGATTTACCTAACTACACTGACTACCTAACTTTAAATCTGGCTTAAACTTCAGGCATCTGTGGGTCTCATAAAATGTCAGTGAGATCATGGTCACATGCCGCCTTGAGACACGTAACCCCATTGCACAGGCTGACCTGAATTGACCTCTCAGGAAGGGTCCCCTCCCATGTGTTCTTTCCATGTCAGTGGTTCAGAGGCACCAACATTTTCAAGAGAAGCCACAAGCCCACCTGCTCCTGCCTGGTAAGCACCATATTCCTAGATGCTGACCCAGGGCTCTCAGCTTCCTGGGTTTCAACTGATAGTTAAACCAGAAAGAAACAATAACCCTGCTCATCTCGGCCCATAAAGCCTGCATATGAAACCCCGCTTGGGGCACATATGGCCTGTGGTGTTGATACCGCTGGTTACTGGGGAGGAGTTCTGCCCCCTCACACGTTGAAGTTTGAACATTAGAGAAGCAAGCCCAGGCAAGCACACAAAGCAGGGTTTATTTTAAAATGAGTAACATAGACTTCTCCCCAGGAGGGAGAGGGGGGACATAGTTGGTACCCTGGCATCACCAGAAGCAAGGTGTTCAGCCTTTCTATGAGTCCTAGGCTTCCTTTGTTCTCCATTCCTTTCCCCTTACCTTTCTCCTTCAGGCCTTGGTGACTAGGCCCAGGAATGCTTGGTGAGATGGCACAAAGGTGACAAACAGGGGGGCTGAAGGGGGAAGGGCAGGATGCAGCAGCCAAGGACACATTAACAACCTTATGGCTCACTGTAGAGAGGGGCAATTCCTGGGACAGGCTACCTTAGCAACAGGAAGAAGCAAGGGCAGGTTCTTAATTAGGGTGGATCAAGGGCTCTGAAGGAATTAACATTTCTATCCCTCAGGGGACAGTCTCCAACTTGCCAGACTCACTCAAAATTGGCCTTCTTGATTCTAACTGACTCCATTTACCTGTCTGTACTTACTGCATGTCTATTTCTGGCTTCAGTATCTACCCCTTCCCAGAAAGTAAATACAATTTTATTTTTACTCTTAACTTGAGTTGGTGAAGTCTTTCATATCTTGTACACTGGCCCAAATTCAGTCTACTTGCCCATATTACCAATGACAATGGGGAGGGGGGCTTATATATAAATAGTCATATTCCCCCAAGTGTGGAATAGTGGCCACATATCCGTGGAGGGCTGAGAACTCAACTGTAGGTGCTTCCCCTACCTCCCCCACCCCTGGGCATTGAATCCATGGCAGGGATACAGAACCCCTGGGCTCCATCCCCAGCCCTTTTTCTATTGTGGTACAAAGAAGGTGGGTGGGAGCATAAATGTAATGGGTTTGAGAATTAAACTCTTAAACTCCTTCTAATTCCTTAAGATTGGGAGCCATCTCGTCCAAAACTCATGAAAACTAATTTCTGTTTTACTATAAGTTACTGTGTTTTCTAACCTTGCTTAGAATGCCTGCCCATCCCTTGAAGTCACTCATACCTGGCTCCTCCTGGGCAGACAATAACCCTCTCTGAAACTTCAGCAGTACCCTTATGCTCGAATTCAGGACCCCCAAATCACCACCAGAGACCAAGATCCATGTAAGCAGCAAACAGGTGTTTATAGCGAGCTAGCTGGGTCCTCTGCATGCACCCAGCAAGTGGTGACAGTGAAAGTTCCTGAGCCCAGGGTTTGCAGCAGTCTTATACACTCTTTGGGGAAGGCAGGGACCCCACATACATCATAGCATCTCTTAGCAAATCATCACACACTGTGAAAAAATCATAAAACAACTCTAAAACATGATTAGCATATTCACTGGTGGGAACAAGTTGGGTAAGGGTGATTGGTTAGTACAATAGGAGGATTCCATTGAACTGATTGATTTAGGCCACAAGGGGCGTATGTATTGAACTACATGGTTTCCCAACATGTTATCAACCACCATAACTACAGGGAGGGTCATCTGGCATCCCAGGTATTTTTCCTGTCTCATGCTCATTGGTGGTTGCTAGGGGGTTGCTATGGGTCCTCACCTAGCCTGACTGAGTCAGGGACACCTGGCTCTGAAGATTTCTCCCATTATTTGCAGACAAACAAC